AAAACTAAATGGTTTCTCTTTACATTTTCTTTACAAAAGGACTTTTGAATTTTTCAAAAACTGGCCCAAGGGTTTTTGTGGCTAGCCCGTTTGCGGGCTAGCCATTATCACATAGTACACAAACGCGATGAGCGATGATGATCATGGTGGTCCAGTCCGGATTTTCGTAAAGTATCGAGAGCAATCGGAAGCGCCCGTATTTTTCTGCCGACATTTACATTTGCATTTCGAGGCAATACTAGTGATGTTGTTACGACGCAGTACTAGTGAGGTTGTTAAACCAGAAAATTAAAATAAAGTTTATCTTCATGGCTTCAACCTATGGTGTCAAAACCGATCAGAAATTGTGCGTACTCGCCGTGTAAATATGGGTTTTGATTTGCACTTTTTACTGATTTGCGGGCCATTTGTCATCTTGAATTGTCTTGTTGTTGAAATTTCATATCTCAATTGCATTCGAAATGTTTGGTATTTTAAAGAAGGGGTATTATGTGGAGGAGGTTTATAATGCAGCGAATAAAACCGGCATTGGATAATTATGGTAAAAGAAACTGTGCATCGAATTCGTTTATTTAAAGGCTTTAAGTATACCTTTTCTTCAGCATTGACGGCGTCTCAAATGTCTACATATTTGTAATAAACCTATAAAGGATTATTGCGTCTGTCTGTCTTAGGAGTTATATAGTCGAATAATTCAGCATGATTTGTCTCACGTTCTCTTATAAGTTGACTAATATTGCATTAAAAGTGGCAAACGTTGGTGTGCTAACCAAGATTTCAGTGTGTTTGTTTGCTAATATTGCTAGGCCTATATCTCAAACGCTATTTGCCTATTAAAATATCATATGACACGCAATTTTAATTCCACGGCAAAACTGCTGTTGCGCAAATAACAAACGCGAGATTAAATATATATGGCAGTATTACAGTTTAGTAATATTGCATTAAAAGTGGTAAAAGTTGGTGTGCTAACCAAGATTTCAGTGTATTTGTTTGCTAATGTTGCTATATCTCAAACGCTATTTGCCTATTAAAAATATCATATGACACGCAATTTTAATTCCACGGCAAAACTGCTGCTGCGCAAATAACAAACGCGAGATTAAATATATGGCAATATTACAGTTTAGGTATCTTTTAAATTGCTAATAGATCACACGGAAACTTTTTACAATCGTTATATTCAAAAGCCTAGCGTGCAAATTCACATATTTGTGTTTATTCAAGTGTTATTCATGAATTCGCTATTTACATGGGAAGCGACGAGATATGACATGGTATTTTTCAAGTATACCGTGAAACTCCACTGACAAAATGAGCCCGCACAAGTGGGAGAAAATTTGCGCATTCTGACCATCGTGGTTTGTCTTCTTATTACTATTAAAGTTAACCAGCATGGCAGGCTTTCTGGGTTTGGAGGAGGGTTTGGGGAGTTAAAGTTTACCAGGCTAGCCACATGTACGCATTGCGTACCTATTGTTTTTTATAATATATTAAAATGCACATAATTACCGGTATAGTATACAGAGTATTGAAAAACGAACATATACAAAGTTAAAGTGTCATTATACATCCTTATGTGGGGGTTGAAAACAGAATTTTAGCATTTGAAAAGGGAGTTCTGGCTTTTGAAAAAGGAGTTTTGGCATTTGAAAACGGAGTTCTGGCTTTTGAAAAAGGAATTCTGACATTTGAAAAAGGAGTTCTGGTATTTGAAAACGGAGTTCTGGCATTTGAAAAGGGAGTTCTGGCATTTAAAAAGGGAGTTTTGGCATTTGAAAAGAGAGTTTTGGCATTTGAAAAGAGAGTTTTGGCATTTGAAGACGGAGTTCTGGCATTTGAAAAGGTAGTTCTGGCATTTGAAAACTCAGTTATGGCATTTGAAAAGGTATTTCTGGCATTTGAAAACTCAGGTTTGGCATTTGAAAACTGAGTTTTGGCTTATAGCCACAAACCGCCGTTGGCTATAACCGCTATAAGGCCGTGGCTATAGCCGCTGTAAGGTGTACTGAATTCCGGTTTCCTTTATAGCCACAGACCGCCGTGGGTATAAGATATATTGAAATCGGCTATCCTTTATAGCGGCAAGAATATTGGAATGAGACACGTCATCAATGCGCGTCATTTGACGAATGAACGCATACTTTATATCGGTTGAGACTTGGTCTAGCCCTCATTACTGTGCCCTCATTATAGTATATCAAAATACAATGAGACTAGGGTACCTTAAGCCTGGTTCACATATATGTCTGCGACGTACCGGCCACGATGCCGGTGGTAGCTTAAAACGTAAATTATGTGAATATTTGTTCGCCGATTGCCTCCAGTGCCACAGTTACATCGGCGGTAGGCCGGGAAAGTTGACTTGAGTTCAACTTTGCCGGTATTTCGGCGGCAAGTAGAGGCATAATGATACAGTCGCAGGCATACCGCAGGCATATGTGAACCAGGCTTTAGGGTGTGTTAGGGTACATTCATAGGGTACATTAGACTACCTTGGACTAATGAGGGCTACATGAAGTCTATACCTTTATATCGTACGTCAGCTGACTGGCGAAATTTATATGCTCGCCGTCTCAAACACGTCCTTTCTCTTTGAGTTGAGTTTCATCCAAGCACGATGGTAGGTAGTTTTTGCAGAAAAATCTCGTTTATTTGCTATGAAACAATTACATCCGAGTTTTTACTCGTAATATTTTGAAAATATAGGTATTTAGTGATGCAATGATCGAAATAGTTTTGTGCTATGTCGATTATGCGAGAGAAAAAATGTGATTAAATAATTTCAACACGTCGACATATATTCTCGAAGGTTGTGAAAGTTTAAATTTACAGCTACCTGACTGATGTCAATCTCATGTAAGACTTGTTAAGCCAAATACGAAGCTCTAGTTAGGAATTTGTCAAGTTTGTACACACAATAATTCACAATGAAATATAAAATTTTAGTTCATATTTTTTTGCAAACTTTATATATGAGAATCTTTGAATCATCCATTATCTAGTCTCATAGAAAGTTCTCAGCTCCCCGCCATGGCTCAAAAGGCTTCTTGCCTCGTAAGAGATGTAAAAGGCATCGTGGAAAAGTTAAATCTTTCCCAAAAGATGACAAGACTGTCCCTCCCCATTTGACTGCCTTTGTTGGTTTCAAAGCTGGTATGACCCATATCCTAAGAGAGGTGAACCGACCTGGCTCGAGTAAGTATTGTCAATAATAGCGAGCTTACAGTCAAACCAGTGTTCCATTGCGAGCAATGTAATGTTACACAATATTGATTGACTGATTGCTTTTAATAGCAAATTGCAACCGACACAAACAAATTGCAATTTTTACATACAGTAACAGTATTAAACCGTCAACTGCAAAATTCAAAATTTCATAATATGATTCAGAAGCAAGTTTGTAACTAAAGCCTGATTGGCTACTAGTATAAAACAAGCCAATCAAATGCTCAGAACATTTGTAACTTGTTCACATCCATCAGAAGAAAAAAATTGTGCTAGACATTGCATCAAAAGTAGTGTAAACGAGCCTTTACATGAGTGCTGTGATGCAAATTGCGGTCAATATTAGTTATACCAATTTTTGGGTGACATCCATGTTGTGTGACATTTCTTCCTAGCCAGTGCTCTTAGAATAGGCATTCACCCCCCTGCGTGTCTGTCATTTTGATTATTTTCAGGGGGGTGAATGCCTGTTGTAAGTGTACTGGCTAGGAACATGGCAACTTCATCGGTAAAGTCATAGGCAAATCCAAGAGGTCTGCCTTCTATAAGGTTCTTATTCTGTGTCATAACTTTAGAAATTAACAAGAAGGAAGTGGTTGAAGCCGTCACAATTATCGAGACTCCACCTATGATGATTGTTGGAATTGTGGGATACATTGAAACCCCCCATGGGCTTCGTCCATTGACTACTGTCTGGGCCGAGCATTTGAGTGAAGAATGCAGACGACGATTCTACAAGAATTGGTGAGAAGCCTAGTATAGCCCAAATTTTAATCCAGTGATCTATCTATTTATAAATGCCCTTCAGCTATTTAGTATGAACAAAGTCTGTTTAGATTAAGTTTCCCAGTGTATAATAGACCAGAAATGAATGGTTTACACAATCTAGTATAAGAGGAACAGTAATAGTAATTGTAAGCTAACAAGAAATATTTTAAAGCATTGGATCTCCTCTCAGCTTTTAATGCCGACGAGGTCCAAGCGTTTTTTTTTTGAGAATTAACAGAATGGTTCTACCACTCTAAGGTGTCGTTCGAAAAAGAAGGCATTCACCAAAGCTTGTCGCAAGTGGGGCGATGAGGAGGGGAAGGGAAGCATTGAACGTGACCTTGAACGAATGAAGAAGTATTGTAAAGTGATCCGAGTCATTGCTCATACTCAGGTAGGTTGTAGGTCCAGTGTTCAAAAAGCAAGTATTCTGGATCATTGACTGACATGTGTGGGTCCGTCACCAGTACCAATTAACATTTTTAGCAAAAGCTGATCAAGTTGCGTCAAAAGAAGGCGCATATCATGGAAATCCAAGTGAATGGAGGTGACATTGCCGAGAAAGTAGATTGGGCAAAGGAACGTTTGGAAAACCCTGCTCCTGTTTCTAAAGTTTTCAACAAAGATGAAATGATTGATGTGATTGGTGTTACCAAGGGGAAAGGATTCAGGGGTTAGTGTTTGAGGAAATTACTTGTTTTAAAACTTGCGTGTGTTGTCTTACCCTGAGTGTTGGTGTTATAGTAGTCAATAAATGTGTTTTTCACCTCCATGGAGGATGTATAAATTCACATTCGAAAATTTTCAACTACAAAACCCTTTTATTTCTTTAGTTTTGTTGAGTTCTAATTGAGAAGAGGTGTTGATCTTTTTAGGTGTGACTTTCCGTTGGGGAACAAAGAAGTTGCCACGTAAAACCCACAAAGGTTTGCGTAAGGTTGCATGTATTGGTGCATGGCATCCAGCCAGAGTTTCCTTTGCTGTTGCTCGTGCTGGTCAGTGTGGCTACCATCACAGGACTGAAATGAATAAGAAGATCTACCGTATTGGTACTGGTATTCACACCAAAGATGGCAAAGTGATCAAGAATAATGCCTCTACGGATTATGATCTGTCGGATAAGAGTATCACACCTTTGGTAAGTTTGCTGTGTCTTGTCTGTCTGTTTGCAATGTTGATGCAAATATATGATTATAACTTCACAGTCGGTTGGCTATGTGAAAACTGTGTTGTGGTTGTCTTTTCCAATAAGTTCCACACAAGAAATCACAAGACAAAGAAAAAATCTGTGCCATATGCAATTTTATTTAGGTTCCCTACCAAATTTTGTTTTGAATTTGATGATGGACCATATTATTTGTATGTTTTGTTTGGTTAGGGTGGATTTCCTCACTATGGTGAAGTAAATGAAGATTATGTGATGGTAAAAGGGTGTGTTGTTGGACCAAAGAAACGAGCATTGACCCTACGAAAGGTAATTTTACTTTCCAATCACAATGATCATGGTTATGATATGTTTCTCATCATGTTGCGTGTTGTTCTCTAGTCCCTGCTTGTGCAAACCAGCCGTAGAGCAACAGAAGAGATCACATTGAAGTTGATTGATACATCCTCCAAATTTGGTCATGGTCGCTTCCAAACAGAGGAAGAGAAGAAGTCTTTCATGGGCCTTTTGAAGAAAGACAAAGAACGTGAAGAGGCTGGCGAAGTTTAACTGTGAACCTTGAAGAATTAATTAAATGATTCAAAAGCATAAATTGTGTGAAGTTGTGTTTTCATCTTTTTGTTTACTTAGTTTTGAAGCAAATTATAGTATCTACATGGCTTATGTCCCAAAATGCTAAAAAACCCCTACATCCAATAAAGGAAATGTTGTAAATCCTGTAGAATCGCACTTTATTACAGCCTCGATGGATTGGTAGCTTACTAGTTTTATCTAAAATAAAATGCAGTCTACAAACATGAACTTCCCATGTGCTGGTTGTATTGAAGGCCGGGATAGGTGATTTTTTCAAGCTTCCTAAAATAACATGAATAAATTGAAGTTTTTTTATCAGTAATTTTAATCTGGTCTTTGTACAACTGCCCCAGGACAATAAATTGATCAAATTATCCACATATGAGTGTTTCCCAGTTGTGAGGGTGGGGCTTATAAATAAATTCTAAAATTTACAGTGTTGAGATTTTGTTGAAGTTTGGGAACATAATATCACGATATCAAAGTCTGTACACAGGTAGCCTGCATGGCAGGCGGTACGTAGGAAATACCGCCTGCCGCAAAACTGGGTGTAAATGAACTACCGCCCCTGAAGCATCAACGCTATTTATAGATGCATTAAGTAAATATTCAAAATTAGCCACTCCCAATCTGATCCCAAGTCCCAACTGCCCAACATAAAATAAATTCATTGATTCTCATTACCGCCTACCCTGGATTCCAGAGCCTTCGACAGTAAACAATAAATTTAAAATCCTCGTGAAAACGTTTTATTTTTCGTTATACAATATAAATGTACCGCCCGACAAAATAATTCAAGACAGTTAATTTTTTCATACTTTATATAGAGTTTGTATTGCCATTTTAAACTTCCAATTTGAAACAAACAGAATTTTGAGTGAAATTTCATTGTATTTTAAAGAAACTCAGTCATTCTGTCATTGTTCGTGGAGATACGAACTATTGATATATAAATTATATAAATATAAAATATAAAAAATAAATCTCCCACTGTCTTCGACATTTCAAAGTGTAGACTGTGTCTAGTGATGAGAATCAAGGAATTTATTTTACAGTCAAATCCGGTTCGCCTTTGACCTAAACATTGCTATAATGATATACAATTTTGCAATTTTGATTGACATTTGTGTCGTGCAATTTCCAACTGTCGAGGTAAATTGCTATTTGCTAATTGCAAATTTGCCGCAATTTTCATCTCACTCTAAGAGCAGACGGACAACTTTTAGTCAATGATTTAGGGATAGATACGCGAGTGTTTTTCTTGAAAAACCTATTAAAGAATACAGATTACTTGTCGAACGTATTAAATCTGCAATACCTTGTTTCAACAAATTGCACGACGACGAAATTCGAATTGCATATAAAGATGTTCATTCAGGATGTTTCATAAATATTCATGCAAATGTTGATGAACAATTTCACCTAACAGATACATTCAACAACGTATTTACAGTTTGAGCATACGATAGAATTACAGTAATTTGAAAGTTTGTAGAAGTGATTCACCGTTTATACATATTAGAAAGAAATCGTTAATTCGCGACGATCTCAACGAACCTACGTTTTGTTCGAGTGTAAATAACAAGGTGAGACCGATTGCCGCTTTCACGGAAAATGATGATACAAGTACGAGTACTGTACGTCTGCCCTTCCCAAACAAATTAATTTTACAGCAGATTTGTCCGAAGTTCAAGGTGGAAAAAAAACAATCGCAATAACAATCCTTGTTACGCCCCCGTTTACACGTCTTATTTTACCTGTAATTCTATCGTATGCTCCAACTGTAACAACGTTGTTGAAAGTATCTGTTAGGTGAAACTGTTCATCAACATTTGCATGAATATTTATGAAACATCCTGAATGAACATCTTTATATGCAATTCAAATTTCGTCGTCGTGCAATTCGTTAAAACAAGGTATTGCAGATTTAATACGTTCGACAAGTAATCTGTATTCTTTAATAGGTTTTTCAAGAAAAACACTCGCGTATCTATCCCTAAATCATTGACTAAAAGTTGTCCGTCTGCTCTTGGAGTGAGATGAACTTGCGGCAGATTTGCAATTAGCAAATAGCAATTTACCTCGACAGTTGGAAATTGCACGACACAAATGTCAATCAAAATTGCAAAATTGTATATCATTATAGCAATGTTTAGGTCAAAAGCGAACCGGATTTGACTGTATGTGTTAATATAAACCAAGCCCGTTTACCCGTTTAGCTGCCTCAAAACGGTGGTTTAATAAGCTCAAAATACAAAGCATGCAAGTCTATACTATAAATGCATCATCAGTCAACAACCAAACTGAAAGTATTGAACCTTACAGAACGATAGTTTTTATTTGTTTACAACTATACATATTCAACGGGTATATAAGAGTTTAACTGTTATTTGATAATTACTGCATCAACCGGCCCCTTGTTTATACTTTGGAGGTTCGTATATAATATCTATCAAGTATCTTTGGTTCAGAACATGACTGATAGGCCTATATGGAAATCCCACTGTTCGATTCAGTGAAGAAATATCTCCTAATTTCTATCGATAGTTTTAGTAAAATGTCAACATGGCGAAATAGTATATATTATCAAATTAATACGCATGTAATTGTCTGAACGAAAATATAGACTAGCCCATACCTTTCGCCGATCATAACTTCGGCCCCTTCGGACGTATCTTCTTTGTTAAATATTCTTGTTCGAATCTCTATCAATAACACTATTTAGAGTGTCATTTTTCAGCTTGTATCTTTTAATTTGCTTCTTTTATTATGTTATTCCATTTCTGGTCTGACTTGACGTGAACTAATTTCAAAAGTCAAAACGCAGAGTTTCAAAACGTCAAAGCATTTGGTTAATGATTAACATTTAACCGAATTTAGCCGTTGATTGACAACTACGTAAAAATACTAACCAATCCGTTTTTCCCGTTCACCAGCGGACGGGTAATTCAAAAACCCCTAGTTTTGCGGCAGACGGTATTTCCTTTGCTTCCCTAATTTTCGCTGCCCGTAGAAATACCGCCTGCCATGCAGGCTAGTACACAGGCTACATTATCTATGGGCTACATCAATGCTCTAGTTCTATTAACCGTGAGGGTCTTGGGATTTTGCAGGATATTTGGGAATGATTGGGGATTTTGAGGTGTCATGGGGGGAAATGTTAGGATTGCGTAGGATATTTTGTAATGTACAGGGATTTTGAAGGATAGCGTGTACAGAATATGGTCAGATGTGGATAGTTCCAGTTGCTCCAGAGCTGTTATTCTTTCTTGCGCAAATTGTCAAAGGAGTCATGGAGAGGAATCGAATTTTGGCGGGAAACGGCGCCATATTGTAAACCGAAGTAAACAAAAAAATATTTGTGAATATGACTTTCTTTTTTCTTGAAAATGTAGTTTTGATTGGCAAATTCTTAAGATAAGTTTTAAAATGGAAGATTGGGAAGCTCTTGCTTACGAAGATGATTTTGAAAGTCGCTATGCTGACGAACTGGAATTGTTGAATGAACTTGACGGTCAGTTATTAATACAATTTTATTTAAAAATTATAAAAATACTTATTGTCTTTAATATTCACATGAAAAATAAATCATAAAAATTCTTTTTACTTGACCATTGAAAATGTTCGTATTGTATTTAAATGTTTATAGAATAATGTATTCACTTCAGCAATGTAATAACCAAAACTGTTTTGATATAAACATAACTAAAGTTTGGGGGCTAATGGAGTATTGGAGTTAATAATGTGTGATTAAGGGTCCTACTAAAGAATGCCCGGGAACGCCCGGGGAGATTCGTTGAATGCCCGGGAATGCCCGGGAGTTGGGAAAGAATGCCCGGGGGAAATTACGTTCATAATTACGTTAGTTTATACTAATAAAATCACTTATTTTATGAAAGATTAAATAATTCTTGTAATATATGGCATTGCAAAGTACTGTTCACGGAATGTCCGGCTGTCACAAAAGAATGCCCGGGAGTCGAAAATGAATGCCCGCGGTAAAATTACGCAAGTAATTACGATAGTTATAAATGATAACATTAACAAGTCTTTTATTTTTCAATGAAAGTTTCTTGTAATATATGGCATTGCAAAAACTATTCACAGAAATTATTTATTTGGCTTTGTAATGCTAAATAATAATGAAGAAACATCTTTTTACACTACCGAAAATATATTTCACTGATAGTGATATATTCTGAGTAGATTTGATAAAGACAGCGGTACGTAATTTTCCCCAGGCATTCTGTGAATAGTTTTTGCAATGCCATATATTACAAGAAACTTTCATTAAAAAATAAAAGACTTGTTAATGTTATCATTAACTATCGTAATTACTTGCGTAATTTTACCGCGGGCATTCATTTTCGACTCCCGGGCATTCTTTTGTGACAGCCGGACATTCCGTGAACAGTACTTTGCAATGCCATATATTACAAGAATTATTTCATCTTTCATAAAATAAGTGATTTTATTAGTATAAACTAACGTAATTATGAACTTAATTTTCCCCGAGTATTCTTTCCCAACTCCCGAGCATTCCCGGGCATTCAACGAATCTCCCCGGGCGTTCCCGGGCATTCTTTAGTAGGACCGTGTGATTAATCCTTTGAGTGCCAGCACTTTCTTCTTGACGAGAAAAATCATCTGGCAGTAGATAGAGTAAAATAATAAAGTTGGGGACATGGTACAATGCATCTTAATGGGTTAAAGATGCTGTAAAATCCGTAATGTAAACAAATGCTTTGTTTACATTTTGAACTCAGTGCTACAGTTGTAATGCACCTATCAATATTAATCCCGGGGGCAAGGGTGCGGGCAATGGGTGGGGATTTGACAAAAAAATTAAAAAATGGGTCAAATGCCCGCTGGTGGGGCATTCTAAGATAATCAAGTGTTTCAAAACAGACGCACCCAGGGGATAGATCGAGGCAACAAAAGAGCCACAAAAAGCGTCTGGGCATCGTAAATTTTAGCCCCAGAATCCAGACTGTGTACTGTATTCAAATTCCAAAAGGCCAGAAAAGACAGAAGCGGATGCGGAAATAAACATTTAATAGTTTCTGGACTTCCGGTTTTCTCGATTCTAGCCTCCAGGCTTCGTACTGAAATCGCATGACAAATCGCCCGCACCCGGGGGAAAGATCTTTGTCAAATGCTCGTCTGTGGGGATAGAATTCACGGTCAAATCCCTACCCACTGCCCGCACCCTTACCCCGGGATTAATATTGATAGTTGCATAAAATATGATTAGATATATATTATACTGAATTTTTAACACTCTTCTGGTTCGCTATTCTTGTAAATGAATACAGACTAGAGATTCAATAAATTGAATTCAAGAAAGTTTGGAAGGTTCGAAATATTAATATCGGGGTTTGGGTCCCGACCATTGGAATTTAGGCCTGCACAGAACATAAGCTCAGAACAGACTTTACAGCATTTTTCATTAAAGCCACTAAATTTCACCTTATACTGTAGATGATGACACTGTCAAACCCAGCCATCCTATACACAATGGACCTCGAAAAAGCTTGGTATTTCCCACTCCAGACAAGCCCGGGGAAACGAACACTGAACAACCTGGTTATAAAAGCAGTGTCACCCAAGGATTTAAACGTCGGATCGATGAAATGTATGCGCTTCTTTCAGATGGGGAAGAAAGTGACAATGATTTATTAGATAATTTTGAGAACACTGAGCTGAGCAGCCTGAGCTCAAACCAGGCTAAGCGAGCTCGAATTAGCACTAGTCCAGAACTAAATACAACAACAGAACGTCATACAAGTAGTTCAAGAGATATTAGGCAAACAGTTAATTCTTCAGTGCCCAAAACAGTCGTTAGGACATGTCAAGTGTTAACGAGGCCTCCTATTGGCAAGGAGTCTATTTCATTAACTGGTAGCGATGGCGGAAGAAGAGTTTATCTTCATTTAAATAAAGACGAGTCATTAGAGTCCAATAAGGTTGGTAGTGGTAATGATATAATTTATCTGACCATGATATGCATATAACAGTAGGTAATTCTGATGAAGTCGTCAGTCTGTTTAAGAACTAATAAATGTATCTTATCCTGCGTTGTCAACATTCCATATCCCCGGAAACTGGGGTACTGGAAATATAGCCTGGGAATATAGCCTCAGAAGAATTCCTGAAATTTGCAGGTTTGTGTGCATGATCAAAGTACCTGAAAATGTAGAGCAACCTTTTAACAGGTGAAGCCCCATAATTCCCTTGAAATATTGTTCAAACCTTTTTCTTTATTTTTCAGATAGTTGCATCATGTACTTCCAAATTGTATTTTTTAGTCTCTAAGCTTTAAAATGATTTTAGGAAACAGTTGTTGTTGATATGTTTGATCATCCTGAAAAATACTAGCAAAGGATACAATATATACACAACGTTAATTTTTTTCAGATTGATAAAAAGAAATGTTTTGGCAGCAGAAGACCAGTGAATCTTCTTGGAGTGCCTTTCTCTGTTATCAAAGAAACAATATATGAACAAGTATATATATTTTTGTATATAAGCATGACATAATTGTTTATGTATTAGTGTAATATGAGTGGTTTCTAATTCTGTTTATTTGCCATAAACTTTATGATCTGCAGAAACGAATTAAACTTCTCGAAGAATCCAAAAGACTTACAAATTCTTTAAACAGGTACAAAGTTTTGTTGTAGTTTTTAAGGCATTTCCACTGAGGATATGTACAAAACAACAACAACAACAACAACAATTTATTGGAAGCATTGCCATTTACATAAATGGTATTGCTTACGACTACGTAACAAAATAACAACAAAACTATATTAAATTAACCCTATGGCTAAAACAATGCACTATATCGTCAATAAGGCCCTTGAAGGGTAAAATTTCTGGTGTTACGCAGAGTGAAATAAGAAAGTAGGGTACATTGATATTGCCACTTGAAGGGTGTGCCTGCTTATGCATTTTAACAATGCCTGCCGACCACTGGATTGTACTGGATGACTCTATGAAGCTATGTTATGTAAAGGGACATGTATTACAGCCAGTAATAGTGATTAATTTATATGTTCATGTGCAGTGCATTAACTGAAGAGGTGATGGAAAATGATGATATGACAGAACAAGAAGTCCCACAAGACACTGGTGCAAGCGAGAAATCACTCTGGGTGGATAAATACTCCCCAAGGTCGTACATGGAACTACTGAGTGATGATGTAAGTCAGGGCTTCATGTACAGTACACACATAATAGTCTCACAACTTGTCATGTGTTTGCAACACACTTGTAGCAAGCTTGTCACCAAGTTGTAACGTTGTTATGTTATCAAGTTGCTACAAGCTTGTCACTCGCAACTTGTTGACAAATTGATGAACTGCAGGACGATAACAAGTTGTTTGAATAACTTGTAACAAGACTGTTGAGCTCCCACAACGTTGTAGCAAGTTGTCAACAAGCCGTTGACAACTTGTTAACAAGCTGGGAACAAGCAGTTCAAACACATCCTGTTGACAAGTTGTTGGAACAACATTGCTACAAGTCTGTTGCAGGTTTGTTATAACTTTTGCATTTTTACATATGTATAGGGCATCAACAGAAACTTGCTGTCATGGTTGAAACTCTGGGATGGTGTTGTGTTTGGTAAGGAGAAAGTTAAGAAAAAGAAGGAAAAACCAGAACAAAAGAAGGAGAAAAAATTTGGTTATAAAGAGGAAGATGATGATTGGATGGTGAGATTTGGTTTTGGAAAAATTATCACTTCCAAATTAATGCAAAGAAAGTTTGGAATTGATGTTTAATTAAATCATTTATTGAAAGTTTGAAACAAAGTTTTCTAATCGTATTTTAGGAATTGGATGCAACAGGGAGACCTGTCAACAAGGTTAGTTATTCATAAATATAAAGCCGGTTTTCCACTTGCGAATTTTTTTGCGCGAAGCGATTTTTTCATTTGTCTTTGGTCTCTCAACTGGAACTAATTGGATAAAGATAAAAGAAAAATTTGCGGCGCGCACAAAAAATTCGCAAGTGGAAAACCGGCTTAAGCCAGTTAATGCATGTTGAGAAGGCCATAATCTTGAACTGTCTTTGCCAGTGAAGGTAGTACCGATAATAACAAGCTTTCGTTGGTAGGGATGCAACTACCTGAAAAATAGAAGGAGAAATTTAGGCTATACTAGGGGATAATTTCATGTGTGAAACTTTAGTAGTTAGGAAGGTGATGACAGCTCTTTCTGCTCACAATTTCCATCCACACGTGACACGTAAAAACGCAAACGTTGTAACAATCTTGCAGCAGACTTGTAGCAATGTTGTTCCAACAACTTGTCAACAGCATGTGTTCGCACTGCTTGTTCCCAGCTTGACGACAAGTTGTCAACGGCTTGTTGACAACTTGCTACAACGTTGTGGGAGCTCAACAGTCTTGTTACAAGTTATTCAAACAACTTGTTATCGTCCTGCAGTTCATCAATTTGTCAACAAGTTGCGAGTGACAAGCTTGTAGCAACTTGATAACATAACAGCATTGTTACAACTTTTTGACAAGCTTGCTAGAAGCTTGTTGCAAACACATCTTGTTGACAAGTTGTGAGACGTTTATGTGTGTACCATGGTCGTATTCAGTTGAACGTAATCCCCAAAGCAGTTTCTTCTGTATTATGCATAGGTGGCATTGTTATGTGGTCCACCAGGTCTTGGTAAAACAACCCTGGCTCATATTGTGGCTCAACATGCTGGTTACAGTGTCATTGAAATGAATGCAAGGTACAGTATGGTAGCATGACTATTTTCGTAACCTAACCTCTGAAAGGTGCCCTCAAATTAGATTAAATTAGATTCAAACACTCATTAATAATTAATGCGTAAGCTTATTCGTAAATATGTGAACCATTGCAACTGACGGAGCTACAGTACACAGTTTTCACGCACTCTCACCTCGTTTCATCCCGGCTTTAGTTTATTATAATCATTCTTTCTTTTCTCTAAAGCGATGATCGTTCAGTCGAAGTATTCAGAAACAAGATCGAGTCAACCACTCAGATGCAGTCTGTATTGGACTCAGGAAAGAAACCAAACTGTTTGATAATCGATGAGATTGATGGAGCTCCAACAGTTAGTGTTTCTTCTTGTTTTCGTGATCTAAGATCGCTAATAAGTGACAAGAATTTTACTAGGGTGGGCATTCAGCATTCCATCTGGAGACAGGGACATAGCCAGGATTAGCAATCTATACCTGTCCAAAAGTGCTAGGCTAGTTCTGCCCCCCCCCCTCCCCTCCCCAAATACGTTGTGTCCCTTGGGCTAATTTTGTAATCAGATTAAAATTGAACTCAAAACTGAAGAGCGAACAGTATAGTTGACCTTACTAACAAAATGGCTGATGTTTTTGTTACAATAAGCTTAAAATACTAAATATTTGGATAATATATAAGGATTTGTAACTTCTTTGCTTGTGGATATGTGTGAAGGGTGGATATTATTTTTTCTTTCAGCCAGCAATAAATGTTTTACTCTCTGCGATAAAGAAGAAAGATTCAGGTAATGACTTTATCATTATCAATATAATTACTTGGTTGAATTTCTCTGAAATATTTTAGTTTCTAAGAAACGTTTTCAGAAAAGTTAGTCATAATGTAAATTTAAGTTCCATATATACACTGTGAAAACTAACGATTCTTTTCAGAACCCGGTGGTCAACAGAAGAAGAAAAAACAAAAGAAACAAGGAATTCTGTCTCGTCCAATTATATGCATTTGTAATGATCCGTAAGTTTTGGCTACTACGTCGAAATAGACCTTTGCATAAATTCCAGCTTATTGATCGAGTAGGATGAAAAACTCCTCATCAAATTCACCATTTTTTTGGTTTTGGAAAAGCAATTTCAAGAACAAGAGTAAAATAGAAAACGAGATTGACGGCTGCGATGTGAAGGAGATACAACTACCAGAACATATAAACAGAATTTCGACGTTTCGAGCGAGGGCCCTTCATCGGGGAGTTAGGCCTGCCGTACACGAGAGCAACTTGTTGAGCTAACCGCCTCGCGTGGCAGCTAGCTCAGCAAGTCTCTCTCGTATGCGGATAGTTTTCGTGAGGATAAAAACACCGTAGAACTCCGTTTTTGCAATATTTAAACTGAGCTTATTTGTAATAAGCCAGCTTTTAAGACGCTTTGATACTAATGACACTTTGGAGCTCTTTCAGAGAATCAGCTGCAAAGCTTACATTCGCATCGTCTGCAAACATTCTAGGAGTGGCGTGGTGGAGGCAATTTGGCAGGTCATTAATATAGATAAAGAACAGCAACGGACCCAAATTACTCCCTTGTGTGATACCACACGTTACTGACGTCGGACCTGATAGCCGATCATTAACTTTGCATTTTTGTGTTCTGCCAGTTCTGGTTAACGGTAACACCGTGATCCATGACCAAAGCTTGATGAGCACAATCCCCCCCCCCTTCCCCCACCACCTCACTACTTCCCCCACCCTTCTCCCACGTACCAGATCTGGCTAGATCTAGACGATCCCTGTGATAAGCGTCTGGGTAAAACCTAATCTAATATCTTCGTTCCGGCTCCGCAGGCTTGCTCTCGATTCTTTAATGAAAAAGCACCACTACGTTGGTAAATATATTATTTCTTGTCCATACAGATATGTTCCTGCATTGAGATTACTGCGCCAGCAAGCATTTGTGCTCACCTTTCCAGCAACTATCCCAGGACGACTTGCTCAGCGACTCATGGAGGTATTTGTCTCATTCCATCACAGCTTCAGATCACGGGCGTAGCCAGACACAAACGGGTTTTTTTTGGGGGGTGGTCTAATCTATGCCTCTGCTTTACAGTAGATCTACCGTATAAGTCCTTTGTATTAATGCCAAAGTCAAACAATGAATGACTACCGTGAATCAGTAAGGGTGCCTTTTAAAACCTGTGGATTCTGGGTAGTGATTGACTGAATGTCATGGAGCCAGCAAATTAAGTTATGTGTCATGCATAAATTATAGAATGCGCTAATTACGCATTCAGTTCACTCGGCCCGGCAAAGCGAGACAAGATTTTTCTAATTTCTCATCCAATTTTTATCCAAATTTAATCAACCTTTGAGTCAACTAAAACTGTCTCCAATGCAGCTCTGTTATACAAAGAGGCACGCTTAATCCAAGTGGGTCATCATAGGCATACGAGGCAGAGTGCATGGGAGGCAACCCCCCCCCCCCCACTCCTTACAAATTCGGGTACACTTTCAAGACACCCCCCCCCCCTCCCCCCTCAGAAAGGATCAGCCCGTAGGCTTACATGCGTTATGTAATATACTCTACAATATGCATTCAAGGTTTCTAAGAAAGAGTTGTTTCAAACGGATATGACCACACTTCTGGCGTTATGTGAGAAAACAGAGAATGATATTCGCTCTTGTCTTAATACATTGCAGGTACACAACTAGTCAGTTTGTTATTCCAGTACAGACTGTAAAGTATATGCGGGGAGAGAGAATCTGCTCATGATTTCTTTTGCGTTTTCTTCATGAATAGACCTTACTGACGGCCTCGTTTCCAAGTTAACTTATTTTAGCATGTCAGGGTAAAGATTATATTCCCATGTTTTCCTGGACGAATTTGTTTCTTGCTGTTCTTAGGCTCAATAACAAAAGCAATTTTCAACCCTACTAAGCACAAAACATGAGTAAGTATTTGACATGAAAACGAGGCCATTGTATGAAAAGTGAATAAACGATAAGGTTTATTATTAACTTATTCTACAATTTCAGTTCCTCAGACAAAAGCGACAAAACTTGACCGTCGACTACATCCAATCGGCAACCATCGGTCAGAAAGACACCCAGAAAACTCTGTTCTCGTTGTGGCAAGCTATATTTCGGCTTCCTCGTCCCAAGAAGAAGCGTTTTGCGTTGTTGGCCAAACCGCTGGACGATCCAGCGCCCATGTTAGCGGAGTTTAATATCGATGATCCAACGAAACATCCGGACCTTACCAGTTCCGCTGCGAGGTTCTATAATATGCTTCATTTGGCTTCCTCGAATGGACAGTATAAGAAGCTTGAGAATGGTAGGCCATGCCTGTATATTTAGTTTTTTGCAGGTAGCCAAAAAATATTTCAGTTAGCCCTGCATGGTCCAAACTTGGCCGCTTCCCTTGAAGCTTGCAAAAAGGGACCAGGCACCAAAGAAATTTCTTTGAGTTGTGTTTCATATTGTCAAAATTGAGTGTCCGCTAATTTGCTCAAACCAACAGAACAGAAAATTTTAAGTTTGCCATACACTATTATACACTATTGCACTATTAAGATGGATGCAGTTATAATTGCATTTCTGAGCTCATACCTAGAGTACAGGTAACATTCTTTCTATTGGTTAGAATTCCCCCCCCCCCTGAATTTTTCCTCTTATCTAAATTTTTGCAAGTGTATTTTTTCTATCTTGGGAAATAATTCTGGCGACTCAAAATTTTCTGGAACCAATGACAATGGTCTCGTGGTCCGATACTTTCTCCACCCCTGCTCGTTGGAAGATAAAAAGCTAACCTGAGATTTTGTCTATATTTTCAGGCATTTTCGAAAACTACCTGAATATGAAGTTCAAGGATGCTTATTTAAATCAGGTATAAAATAGTAGAACTGATAATGCTATTCATACAGATAAAGATAGTTTAATTAAACGATCGTCCTGTAGTGTATAATTTAACACTGACCAATAAAGGATCGATCTTTCTTAATAGACCTCCGGAAAGAACAGTTTAGAACTGATCAAGGACGGATTTTCATTTTTTAAAAGGAGGGCTGAAATATTTCTAGTGGGGTACAAGCGGCACCACTGAGCGAGCTTCGGCGGGGGTTAGGCGTTAGGGTTAAAGACTTTCACACAAAATAGGAGGAGTGAAGTGACATTTTGGTGGGGTTGAACACCTTATAAGAGGGTTATAGAGATTCTATGGGGGGTTAAGAACCCCCCCCCCCCCGCAGTAAATTCGCCCATGGAACTGATAGAAAACAGATAATATTTATTATTGCAGTAATAAATTTACGTGGTGTTTCCACAAACAAAAAGTATTGTATGATAGAAAACAGTAAAACGAAGTTAGTTCAATGATTTTGTTCGTTGTAGGTTGTTTCTGCAACGGAATGGTTACAATTCACCGACCTGGTATCACAATGTCTTCTGCAGCAACAGAGTTTCGTTCTAATGCGGTATCAGCCCTTTCTGTCCGTTGCATTTCACATGTTCTTCGCTGCACCTTCGCAGCCAAAACTAAGTTACCCAAGCATTGGTTACGAGGTAAAGAACTTTTTTGAAAAATATGAAGGCATCATACACTAAAACCCGTTTTCCACTAGGCGAATTTGTTCGCGCGAACAGTAAAAAGTAGGAACCGATCCAACTTTCTCGCGGCGAATTTTTTCGCTGACCAATCACATTGCCAAGATTTGTTTTTCGCGCGAACAAATCTGAAAACCCCCAGCCTGAAATCACCGACCCTGCAAAGCAACACTCTGTTTTTAAATAGCAAAACTCCGTTTTTAAATAGCAAAACACCCTTTTCAAATAGCAAAACACCCTTTTCAAATAACAAAACACCCTTTTCAAATAGCAAAACTCCCTTTTCAAATAGCAAAACACCCTTTTCAAATAACAAAACACCCTTTTCAAATAGCAAACTCCCTTTTCAAATAGCAAAACACCCTTTTCAAATAGCAAAACACCCTTTTCAAATAGCCAAACACCCTTTTCAAATAGCAAAACACCCTTTTCAAATAGCAAAACACCCTTTTCAAATAGCAAAACACCCTTTTCAAATAGCAAAACACCCTTTTCAAATAACAAAACACCCTTTTCAAATAGCAAAACTCCCTTTTCAAATAGCAAAACACCCTTTTCAAATAGCAAAACACCCTTTTCAAATAGCAAAACTCCCTTTTCAAATAGCAAAACTCCGTTTGCTACCTCGTAGTCTGAACATACTTTATGAACCTTATTTTAAAGACTAAGTACACATTGAGTACTGAGTTTGTTCTAGAGCAAGTACGCAGCAACAACCATTGGCGTACCAGTCAGGTACGACTAGAAATCTTGAACGACCCTGAAAATTCTCTAAAGAATTACCATATTATTTTGTTTAGAACACACTAAAAGAGACAAAGACTCAGAATATTGTGTCGTCGATGTTGAGTGATGTATCGCCACAACTGCGAGGAAATTTAGATCTTCGAACGATTACCGTGGAATTACTGCCTCTTCTGTTGAATATTGTCACACCAACACTTCGTCCTGTAAGCATTTATACTCGACTTTATCCATGGGCGTACTGGAGCAAAAACTTAGGGGGGGGATTAACGTCGCGCGGGGCCCGTGGCAGATTTTCAGCGCGAGGCCCCCAACCCCCCCCCCCCCCCTCGCTATGAAAAAATGCGCGAGGTCCCTAAATTCGCGAGGCATCTAAATTCGCGAGGCACCTAAAATGGGCGTGTCCCAATAGAAAATGGGCGTGTTCTCGTAAAAATGGGCGTGGCACAGTAAAGCGCGAGGCCCCCATAAGCGCGAGGCCCGCGGCATATACCGCATCTGCCACGTGGTTAATCCGACCCTGGGGGGGAGGGTCATACCCATTGAACTATACTGTAAATAAACTGGAAGGCTAACTCGGGGGGAAATTGAAGCCAGTGCATTTTAGTTTTTCTGAGTTATGAGCAGAAATACTCAACGCTGAACGTTGTGCTGTATATGAAATGAAGCTATTGAAAAACACTATTTGGTGTAGAAATTTCAAGACTTTAGCTAAAAGGGAAATGTTGAAAAACTACAAAAATAATTGCCGATAATTTGCCATTTTCCAGTTGTTTTTGTATTTTTTAAATATTTTTCTTTTCGCTGAAGTCTTGAAATTTCGACACCGAATAGCAATTTTCAATAGCTTCAATTTGATATATAGCCCAACGTTTGGGATCAAGTATTTCTGCTCATAACTCAGAAAAATTATTTTGGCTTCATCAAATCATAGGCCTTCATCATAGCAGTTATCCTTCCAGTTTATTTATAGTTCAATCGTCATACCGTCATAAACAAAAATTGGGGGGGGGGGCGGGGGAGGTTAGGGCTCGCCGTTTTCAAGGCATAAACTAAATATTATTTTGATACGCGTCACGCTTCCTTATAAACGATTTTTTAGTGGAATCTTCCCGACTTAAAAATGATTGGGGAGCTGCAGCCCCCAGCCCCCTGAAAATGAAATTTGTCTTGACCAAACTGAAAAAAATCATCTTGACAGTAGTCATAACATTTTGATTAAGAATAATTTGAAAATTGAAATGAAAAATATGGCGCTCGCTTCCAACTGAAATTTTTATTTCCCAAAACGAAATTTTTCTTTTTCTACTGGCAACAAGTTGTAACAAACCTGCAGCAGACTTGTAGCAATGCTGTTCCAACAACAGGATGTGTTCGCACTGCTTGTTTCAACCTTGTTGACAAGTTGCCAACGACTTGTTGAGCTCAACAGACTTGTTATAAGTTGTTCCAACAACTTGTCAACAGAATGTGTTCGCACTGCTTATTGGCAAGTTGTCAACGGCTTGTTGACAACTTGCTACAGGGTTGTTGAGCTCAACGGATGCACTTTTGTGATTATAATGTAACCTCCATCTTACATGTGGAAGAATGCTTCAAGTGTGACCAGTGCAGATGCATGACACAATAAATCTTATTAATATTTACTCTAAATACTCGCGATTTATTTCGTATTAATATCTTATTTGAAGGTTAACATGCAGCTGTTCAGTCCAAGTGAAAAACAACAGATGGTCGATCTTATCAACACTATGATCTCGTACAATCTCACATATCATCAGGAGAGGAACATCGAGGGACAATACAGTTATACCTTGGATCCGTATGTACAGTATCTTTATACACGGTGTCTCAAAAAAGTGAACTTTTAAAAATCACTCTATTATAATCGATTTAAAACACTCGCAGTCCGTATTTTATCAGATATAAAACACCCCAGCTCTGCTCTCGTGTTATATCTGATATGCAATTTTTGTGTTTTATGTTTGATAGGCTATGCGCCCTTAATAAATAATCCTTTTTATATTTCACCTAGTAAAATTGAAGATGTGGTAAAGTTTCCTGGCTTGCCTCAGCATAAACAATTGACATATGCTACGAAACAGTTAATTGCCAGAGAGGTTTGTTAGATGTTCAATTCATTTTAGCAACCCCATTTAAGCCTTGCTCAAACAGGGATGAGAGTTGAGAAGCGAGAGTTTGCATGAGATTTCTGCTAAACACTCTGATTACATGCATTGACACCATTTTTACCATCGAAACTTACAAGTTAATTGTTACAGGTCTGCAAACAAGTTGTTACAAATCTGTTCACAAGCTGTCGACAAGTTGTGTTCGCACTGCTTTTTCCCAGTTGTTGCAACAAGTTTGGAACAAGCTGTTAACAACTTGCAACAGGCTTGATGGCATTATCAGACTTGTAGCAAAGTTGTTCTAACAAGTCTGATACAGTCATGACATAACAAGAATGTTACAAGGTTGATGACACAAGAGTTGTAACAATATTGTTATCAGTATCATGACTGAATCGGACTTGTTGAAGCAACCTTGCAACAAGTCTGATAATATCAACAAGGTTGTTACAAGTTGTTAGCAGTTTGTTCCAAATTTGTTGACAACTTGGGACAGGCAGTGCGAACACAACTTGTTGACGGCTTGTCAGCAGACTTGTTACAAGATGTCAGATCTTTACGTGCATAGTGTAAAACAGCCTTTAAGATGAGATGTCCGAGTGTTGATTCGTACCTCACACGTGATATTTTTCAAGGCAGAAATTTTAGCGTACCTAGCTAGTGGGTGTACCTTAGGGCTAATTTCCACTCGGGAAAATTATCCGTGGATTGGAACGGACAAGAAAATTCCAATCCACGTATAATCCAATTCCAATCCATTCCAATCCACGGATAATTTTCCTGAGTGGAAATTAGCCTTTACTCGTCAAGGGGAGAGTGTTTCCTGCACTCAATGGGTTAATGTATTTAAAAATGGGATTTGATCATTAATGTAGATCGATTTGGAGAAAATGCGAATGATGGAGAAACTGATACTACGGAACTCCTCGTAAGTTCTAGAACGGTTCAAAGTTCTTATTGGTAACTACTTTTTCATTATGTATTTTCGGAACTTTCTTCATTCATTTCATTTGTTACCAAATGACAATTTTCCAGCAAAAATGAAGAACCGAATGAAATTGAAAATAAAGATAAGAAACCTGTTCAGTCAGCTGGTCAATCAAGTCCTGTGGTTTTAAATCTCAAACCGAAAGAAATAAAACCAAGAAAAGAAAAAGTACCGGTATGATTAAGGGACCAGTCATTATTTGTGTGGGGTTGTTGACGTTGTTTCAACGTTGAAATTTGGTAGAAAAAAGGTTGCGACGTCGACAACCTAATATCTACGTTGCTCTGACGTTGTTTTACAAACATTGGTTCAACAGCAGCCAACAGACGTTGAATTAACGTACATTTATGGTTAAATGTACGACGCCGATTTGTGAACCAATCTCAACGTTGTTTTAACGTGGATTCAACGTTGAATTATGGTTGACGAGATTGGCAACCTAATTTCAACGTCGAAACAGTAACGTCGATCCAATTTGCATAGTCAACCCTTTTTCAACGTCTATCCAACGTCTGGAAGGTCATTTCCAACGTTGATTCAACGTTGGATAAACGTCATTTTGCCCGCTGGGGTGCAAGTTGCATCGTCTAAAGCCTAGTTTACACTATCAAAGTTTCTGTGATCACAGTAGGAATTTTGCATGGGTAAAGTATGAAGACATTTTTGAGGGAAGTGAATCATTGAAACACTGAGTCAGTTCCCTCAAACATTTCTTATAAATTCTTACCTATAAATTCTTACCTTTGCAAAATTCCTACTGTGATCACAGAAACTTTGATAGTGTAAACCAGTCTTTATTTATCAACCATTACTTCAGGAGGAAACCAGACTACCAGAAGAGAGCCACCACGTTTGGTAGACCCAACCTTTCCAGTACTTTTTGTATTTTTTTTTTTGGCTTATAGCAAGCAAAGGACTTTTTTGGACGCCCTATTGTTACCAAAGAACATTATGGTAGGTACAGAACTGTTATATAATCTCGCACAGTCTGTGGCAGTGTAGATAGTGGCAATAATAATAAAGTTTCAGATTGATAGGGATACAACTACCTGAAAAATACAAGGAGAACTTCGACGTTTCGAGCTAAGGGCCTGTTCATATGGGCAGAAGTTATCCCGGTTAACGAGAGAACTTTTCGACTAGCCAAATACTTTTGTTCTGTTCATATGGAGAAATATTATCCCACTTACCGGGAAAAGTTTCCGGCTGTGACGTAGCACTGAACATCAATTGAATTGAAAAGTTGCTGACACGACAAAAAGTTATCCCGCTAAGCGGGAAAGTTGTGTTCATATGGGGAAAACATTATCCCGGTCACCGAGATCTCGCCTGTCAACAAGCGAGATCTCGGTACACGGGAAAACTTTTCGTCTCATATGAACGCAATGTAACTTTTCATATTATTTTCGTAACAAGGCGAGATCTCGCTCGTAAACTTGTCGAAAAGTTTTCTCGCTAAGGGACCGGTCATTATTTATGGAGGGGGGTGGCACCGAAGAGAAAAGGGTTGGGTAAACAAAATTTTGAGTGAGTAAAAGGTTGGGTAAATGAAAAACAAAACAACTCAAGGGTTGGGTAATAATAATTTCCAAAGCACGACTCACTGAAATATTGGAGACTAAAAAGCAATGTCAACAGTCATATGTCAATACAATATGTGAATCAATCGGAGTCACTATCTTGATCACTGTTTTTCAATTTGTTGGGAGACAAATGGTGTCTCCAAAGAAAGTACATGTGCAGACAACATGAAACTTTAGTCTGCAAAAAAATTCACAATCCGTTATCAAACTCATGTCACAGAAGTGGCAAGGGACATGTGTGACAACTGAATGGTACCTTTTTGTAAAGTTTTTGGCCAGGGGTGAGTATTTATTTTTTAATTGATATTTGAGGTTGGGTAATCAAATTTTTTACTTTTTAATGGTTGGGTCAGCAAAATTTTG